GGTGAGAACGATGGTGGTGAAAACGATGGTGGTGAAAACAATGGTGGTGAGGACGATGGTGGTGAAAACGATGGTGGTGAGGACGATGGTGGTGACAACGACGGTGGAGAGAACGATGGTGGTGAAAACGATGGTGGTGATAACGACGGTGGTGAAAACGACGGTGGTGAAAACGACGATGGAGAGAACGATGGTGGTGAGAACGATGGTGAAGACACCGGCTCTCAGGACACGACCCCTCTCCCCAGCTTCAGCACCCTCACGACCTTCACCACCAGCACTGCCACCGGGACAGTCCCCAGAGAGTCGGCCGTCGAGGACCCCGACGAGACTGGCTTCGAGCCGTCTGGCGTCTCGGAAACCGACCCCGTCCCAACGGCCGGCGCTGCCAGGATCGGCGGTCTCAGCACTGTTGCCGCGTTTGTGGCCATTCTGGGCTTTGCCCTTGCCTTCTGATGACGCCTCTTGTTTTGGTTTAGGTGTGTTTGGTGTGTTTGTGAGTTTTGTTTCGCGGATGTACAACCAGTCTGAGCATCGGGCATCGGGGCGACAGCCAGGACGGTGTTAATTACATGTTTTTCGCATAGCGGGATGCGCACTTTGCATGGGTTGTGTCAACCCCCTTTTCTTCTTCATTTTCAATTTCTTGTTTCATTTGTTCATTCGTCCCGTTACACTTCTCGTCTCTATATAGAAGTGGCGCTTCTGGATAACCGAGTATAAAGGAATCCAGGGGCGTGTTTTGTATATATTGGTTCTGGTGGGAAGCGATAGAACATATAGACATAACCATCATCATGATAAGTACTGAGTAATTTAGTTTGTGTCCCTTTAATACCGTGGTTTAAAAGCGAGATGAAGAAAATGCCCATTCTTCTGTTCGGGGATGATACTGTCCGGAGTATTAAGTAGTGGTTATAGATAAACTGATATTAAACTCGGAGGCTGAGCTAAGGGTAGGTGTAGGGGGTGGTTAGTGCTAGATTATATAATATACGCGGATACCTTAAGTAAGCGTTAGGCCTTAATAAAGGGGTAGATAATTAAGGGGTAAGATAGCGAAAAGATAAATAAATTAAGATAGTAGTGATAT